GTGATGATCTTGGTTTGGGCACCTGGCTTTGTCCCCCTCCTACTGAGCCAGGCCCTGCAGGGTCTTGTAGTATGGTTTGATAGCATTTGCTTGGCATCATGTTCTTAATATGATGTTCAGTAAGCTAACAGTGCATAAGTGGGTCGTGCCTTTTGACTGAGGAATGAAGGAAGAGAATTAAGGAAACAAAGGAATCTTCATTGTACATAGATTGGAAGGGAGTTGCACTAGTTTCCAGTTAGCTATGATATATAGGCTTATAGCAATATATACAAGTTCAGTATTAAGCCAGTTATGCCGGGTAAAAAATTTGGCAAATGGACATGATCATGGACTTATTGGCATGCATCGACAGTTTCCCCAATTTGTGCCCGGCTTGTTTGGTAGTTTACCGGCAACATTAGGCACCTAAAAGCTTATATTTTGATACGATTTTTAAAGACATAATTTTTTGAAGGTTTACCTTCACTTTAGGTGCCATTTCCTAAAAGTTTTACCATAGAAAAGATGTCACTTCTATTGGAGAAAAACAAGCTCCATCCAATGAGCCAAAGGTGTGGGAATGGTTGTGTTTGATGCCATCTGCTACTTTGTCCACAACAGCCATGGCATTTACATACATGCCACCTGGTGGGAAGTGGTTAAGTGAGTGTATTGTATGGATTTTATTTATTCACTTCTGGAAATATATATACTTCTGGATTCTTGAAGTACTGTGATAGGCATTTTTACGTTTATGCCTAGACTCACATAACAGAAGAAAGGGTTGATGATAATTGAAAAAAGAGGGGAAAAAAAAGAAAAAAGGTTTCATGTGAGTGTCTCAGGAACTATATGTGTTATTATTTTTTATTTATTTTTTTTTTTCTCCATTTTTAGAAAAGGCTATACTGGTATTCAGAGCTTGCAACCAGCTGCCATTTGCCCCCTTTAAGCAAGGTTGCTTGCGTACTAACAAGATTTTTTTTATATATTTCCTTTTATACGCATGCTGCTTTTCCTTACCCCACCTCCAGTGAGTGATCGTGTGCGTTCCCTGTTACATCAGTCTTCCTCTCTTCGGTATTGGGCTGTGGTTCGGGAATGCACTGCATTGCTATCAAATGAAGTGGAGTCAATATCACCTTACATCACCACTGTACTAGTATCAGGAAAGCAGGTACTGTAAAGTAGATGATTTCTTTATTGCATGTATGTATTATGGTTTATGGCCAAAAAATATGTCGAACTGAAATTGAAAACAAAGTTCATGTTCATGTTTAGTAACCACGTATCTTCCCAGATATGAAAGATAAGTAGTGAAATTTGCTGAAATTTCACCTGGTAAGGTTGCACTTTTAGTATTACCAACCATTATTCAGCATTTAACAGCCATAGTTGGAAAGATACTGTTCTTAGACTACATTTTGTCTTGAAGTGTATTACTCTAGTATACAATTTTTTTCTTCTTGATTTTCAAATAAGGGTAAAATGACACATTATGAAAATAGTTGCTTTGGAAAAGTTGTTTTCCTATATCACACTCCTCTGCCTTTGTGATGCATGCTTTTAAAAAGTTCATGCTTTTTTGCTGCTTTAGATATAGTGTACACAAAAATGAATCTTAAAAGAGGAAAAGGAAAACTATTTCTGGTTCTCTAACCCATTTTAGATTTCATTGCTTTGTGAATTAGGCTATTGATTGTTTTACTTTGCAGTATCAGTCATGCTCTCCTATTTGCCACTATATAGCTATCTTTGCATTGTGCTTTCCTAAAACCTGTCAAGGTTTTTACCAATTATTTGATAAGAAATTAAATAAGAGTTAACTAGGTAAACTGTAAGGATTTGTAATGATTTCTGTAAATTGGAGAAGCAAATTATTTTACTTTCTTTTTTGTATATTGGTAAGATTTACGGTCTGGCAAAAACATCATAAAAAGCAATATTTTTCACTCAATAATTTTATTCAATTTTTTTTTTTTTTTATAGGTTTCTGTATATAGTGTACATAAATTGGCATGGAGTGCTTTTTGTTTCTTTCAAATATGTTAGGTATAATTATGTATGGTTAATGGTAACATTGAACTAAGTGATAAAATCTTTAGAGGGATAGTTATATTTTTGTTAAAAGGCATTATTTAGCTTATTGATAAGTGACATTTTAGAAGTTTATGCAACCCGACTGACTGTATTTTTTGCCGAAAAAATACAGACAAATATTTTTATAACTAAATTTCTGTTTACCACAAATCTAAAATACAACCCCTAGTGCCACAACGGCTAGATTTATGACTATCAAAGCACATTGAGTAAACCTTGTGCCGTGGAGACTGCATCACGTCTGTTGCCACTAGACTGAGGCTTTAAAAAAAAGATTTGTATTTTGAATATAAACTTCAATTTTACTTTTCCATTGTAATATCTAGATCTGGAAGGCAGATTTTAGAGTGAGGTGGTGTCCATGAACAGGTTCATTACATCACTTCTCAAAATAAAAATAAAAATCTATAAAAAAAGACCCCAACCTGACCCACCTCAAGTGGGAGTCTGTTACCTGAACCAAAGTTATTTATTTTGGGTTGGAGGCCTTATCTGTCAAGAAATAACAATTGTAAATTGTTTAAATTTTTTTTCCTTTTTTCACAACTGTATATGTGCCTGCATACATTTGAATTTATACATATATATATAGATATATAGATAGAAAGATAGATATAGATAAAGTATACAATATATACATATATATAATATATATACATATATATATACATATATATATATATATATATATATATATACTATATACATATATATAGCATATATATATACATATATATACATATATATATATATAATATGGATATAGTATATAGTATAGTTATATATATCCTATATATATATCTATATATATATATATATATATATCTATATATATATATATATATATATATATATATATATATATATATATATATATATATATATATATATATATATATAGTATATATATATATATATATATATATATATATATATATATATATATATATATATATATATATATATATATATATTACGTAAGTGGCCACTCTGCCTGGTGTACACCATGTAGGCTGAGTGTATGTGAACACTTGGTTGCAGTGACAAGACTCTATGCCTTCCCTTTGCAAAGTTATTTTGCATAAACGTTTTTAGCTTTTTTGCCAATTTCCATATCCATATTTGTCTTTTGATTTGTCTTATCAGATTTAATAGACTGTTTATTTGCACAGACTCCATATCATCTCTATCTGTAAAAAAAAAAAAAAAAAAAAAAAAAAAAAAAAAAAAAAAAAAAACTATTTTGTATTTGTGTCATTTTTATTTGTCATTTTATTTTTTCATGATATTCACTTTTCTGTAATGCAACCAGTGCCACTGGTCAGGGTGGCTAGAAATTAGTATGATGAGCATGGAAATGGCATTATCCTGGGAGCCAGCACTCTTCCAGTCATGACTTATGGAGATTACATTCCACACTCGTTCATTGATGGGAATAATGCAAAAGCCCCTTTTTAAAACTCATGGTGAGCCATTTCTATCACTCTGGCTTTCACTCATGACTGCAATTTTGCATCACCCAACCTGTGGCTATTTTTTCCCATGATGACTTGTTTATGTTACTCACCCCTAAAGCCAAATTTTTTCATGACCTGATGGTCACATCACCCAGATTGAAGGGGTTAATTTTGCTTACACATAGATGGCTTCATAAGCATTTAGTCACCAAGAAGTCAGTTACTAACTGTACCATACCTCACCTGTGTACTCCATTCCTTGAATTTTCACAAAAAAAATTTTTTTTGTAACACTATTATCATTGTTAACCACATTCCAACGGGGATGGCATGTGCATACATGTCATGCCACAGTGTTGAATTTAGTAATTGTTTTTACATATAGATGGCTCCACAAATACTAGGTCACCAATGAGCCAGTTACGAGAAGTACCTGTCTCACCTGTTTACCCTTTTCCTTGATTTGCAATAATATTTTCAAGTTCTGTTGTTAGTAATGCCAAAAACAATATAGTAATTTAATGTTTATAATAAAAATAACAGTATCAACATTGATAGCACTAGTAGAAAAGGCGTTTTTCCTGCCAACTCAAGGAAAGGTGAGGTCAGGTACAAGATCTACTAACTGGCTCCTCTGTGGCTAAGCACTGGCAGAGCCATTTAACATGACACTAATGTGTACGCAACATTCTCCCGGTAGCATTGGTTAACATTGTTATTATTATTGTACAGCCATCTGTGTATAAGCAAAATTGATAGACTAAAATCACAGTAGACAATGCTTATATACATGCATTCCTAATAGCAGCAGGTTTTTTTTTTTACATTTCTAAGGTATTTACAGGCATATTATATATTTATGATGCTTGGAAGTATATTAGATTTGCTTTTTGTTATGTGCAGAACTATTTTAATTGTATTAATGTGTAAATACATTTTGATTTTGACATATACTATTTGGAAATGATGTTTACAGGATTTTTTTTATGCAGGATATAATGATAAACATGTTATTCTCTTTAGTTGTTGTGGGTGAAATCACTTACTGGAGATGGTAGAAGGTCTATGTATTTGGTTTTCCTTTTTTTACTCTTTATAGTGGTGGGATAATTTTTTTACATCCAGTTGACATCCATATATTTTGCATTACATCTTTATGGTGAGACTTTCCTGTTTAGCTTTTGTTATATTCATCAGCACTGGAGAGCTAATGCCAACAGGGGCACATAGCCATATCCATTCTATATTTCCACATGTGAGGGTCCCTCATAGCAAGCCACCAGGCTGGGACTTGGCCCTTTTCAAGCTCTTCACAACTGGTTTGATCGATCTGCCCGAACCACGTCTTTGTAGGTCATCCCACAAGCCTACTCCAACCCGAGTTGTCTTGCACTGCAGCAACCTGATGGGAAGGATCATCTTGTGGGAAACAATCCAGGTGTCTGTGTAGCATGAGTTGGC